CTCACGGCCTCCCCACCCCTCCGCACGCAGCCGCTGTGGCGGGCGACGGGACTGCAGCACAGGTTTGCACTAGGCTGAAAAGGCCAGGGCTCTTTAGAACAGCTGCACAATGTTTTTTTTTCCCCCCAAGACGAAGGCCGGCTCGTTCCTCGCCAGCAAGGGGCAAGGGACAGGCGCAAAGGAAGCACTTACTGCTCAGAGTTTCAGGTTAGTTTATTTTTAGTACCTGTTCTTTGGTACAGGTATTAGCTGGAAAATACAAGTATTTTCTCAATGAAAAGTGGAACTATTTAAAAGAGCTGTACAGCTTTACAGCACACAAAAGCCTTGCTAACAGAATCTGCTACCGCATCAGTGCAAATGCTACCAGCAAAACTCCAGCAATACATATGTTCATCAGTATCTTAAATTTTGTTGTAATTCTTCTTTCCCCATGTAATGCATTATATTTGAAAAGACTTCAAGAGTGGCTGAAGTCTTCCTCATGAAAACATTCAGTGCTTGCCCAAAGAAAGCAAGCTAAACATTCTTCCAAGTCTAATGCCATTATAAGCACAATTCTAAAGATGCGCCCATGTTACAGCTCAGGTAACTTACTCATTCAGTAAAAAGCACCAGTCACTAAAATCTGTATTATATTACAGTCACCATCTTGCAAAGGACTACTGAAGTTAAATGCTAGCACTAAAAAACTTAAAAAAATACAAATCTCTTACTGTGACTCTTTAAAGATTTGTACAGAACGTGTAAATAAGAAAACACTTTGTTAAAATTAAGTCATCCTGCAGTTCATTCAGCGCAGCCAGGTAGTATTCAGTTGTGTCTGGTTTTTTATGCTTGTGTCCATTTTCAAAACTTCTCGAATCGCCATGGTAGCATAAGTGGAGGGGGGAAGGGAGAACTCCATCTTTAGTGCCCTGAATTTGCCATCTATTAGCAGGTACAAGAGACAAAAAGCAAGAATAAGTGGTTAAGGTCATATATAATGCTTATTCCAGATGCCATCTAAACTGAACTAACAGCTTCCACAACCAACTTCCCCTGCCCATAAAGCAAAACAACCACCATCATCACACTCCTGTTTATACTCCACAGTGAAAAATTCTGTGAAACCATTTTTTAACATTTTCTCTCAGGACAAAGTCGTGGTTTCAGAGTTTTCTTCTTCTAAAAGCACACATTCATTCTTTCAGACTTAATCCCTAGCCTGGAAAGCAGTGTTAAAACAGCTTGTGACCACAGTTAAGTATTTCAGTCATCTGTGCTCAGCACCAATAATACAAGTTCAGTATACAGACAATTTGTGACTTAATTCCACCTTTGTTAACAGCAGACACTTACTGTTAAGCATCTACTTGATTTTACAGATGCCTGTAAGAAAATGTAACAGTCAGTACAGATGCTGGAGAGCTGGTTTGCACCCTTGAGAAATCAGGGTCCTTATTTAGATGCCTGGCCTTAGATGTCATTGTTACCACTGCTTAACAAGCAACAGTTAAATGAAAGCTCTTCCTTAAAGGAGCTTTGAATATGTAGCAGTTGAAAGCAACAGCCAGATCTAACTTCCAATTTGCAAACCAGCAAAAAATCAACTTACCTGTAGGGAGAACTGGTAATGGTTTTCCTTCCAGTTTATCCAGATCCGTAGTAAATAATGGGATTTTAGGATCATCATATGCAACAACTTCCCTTTATAATATACATAAAATTTATCATTACTTTAAACCATTTAGGTTAACACATTTTATATAAATATGTATTATTATAACACTATTTTGTTGTTATTATTATTATTGCAATTTGGCATTTACAACTGAAATTGAATTAGGCAAAATAATGGGTAGAGCTTTATGTAGAAGACTTGCCCTGGCTTTATGAAGATTATTAAAAAATCATTTTAAGTTAGTGAGAAGTTTCTTTGCATAACTCATCTGTTTGCCCTTGTGTGCTGACAGAATTTCCAGCTATACAAGAAGTATAGCTCATTAAATTAAGGGAACAATGGTATCAACTCTAAGATTACCTAGCAGGACTGAAGCCTTTCAATAGTCATCCAAACTTTGAAAGGGACACATTCCATGGTTTCTGCCATTCATTTAACAGAAATCCTGTATGTAACCATGAGGCTGAAAAACTAACTGGGAAGTAGACAAGCTTAATATTAATTAGTGCTGATGTTTCAAGTATATAAGTATTTCTATTTTTGTGCTCCCTCCTAAAGCCTCTGTATTTAATTCTGTGCATCAGTGATCATGTCTTTCTGCACATTTGTACAGTTCCCTGTTTAAAAGGTTGCCATATGAAAACTAGGTTGTATCTCCAACAATAGTGATTTAGTAGGGTTAAGGGATACAAATTTTTTTTTTTTTTTTCTGACTGACAGGTAATTGGAGACCAACTTTCTCATAGCAAGACTACAAAAAAAATCCTCTTTTGAGTATTTTCTACCATTTTCTCAACATAAGTAATTACCTATGAAGTGTTCAGGCAAGCCCTTGGAAGGAGTGAACAACTAGATAAGATGTCTTGATACTCCTCCACCACAGAATGAGAGAACCAAGGAAGAAATAAGGGTATAGTTCCACTTCAGCTGCATTAAAAACATGAGAGAAGGACAGAGAGATTCCTTTCTAGCTATGTTTCAGCCTGTGTGCTTGTCCCATGGATCAGTCTCATGTTGTTTTGTACTTAAATAAACTCTGTGCTGTCAACTCAAGTGTAATTTCCCTTATGCTCCCACTCACCAATTGACATTCTGAGGCCGAATGATAATTTTTCTGTATGCTCCAGAAAGTGAGTAATCTCTGATTTTATGCCTCATGTTGTTGATATCAAGGTTGTCAGCTACCAGCATCTCCTTGTAGGCCTCACCAACTGCAAGAGAGGAAAATATTTAATAGGAGAGAATGTAGTGTGGCAAATTTAAACTGTTTTCATGGATTGTTCCTTTCCCTTACATCTAGGAGTTTTCAGCACAGATGGGATAAATGCTACACAGAAGTTTAAAATTACTGCAGATCTTATTACCTGTTTACTTCTACACCCTGGTTAGTACAGGCAGTAACAACGCATCAAATCAAATTTCAGCTGAAAACAAAATTTACAAAATACTTTATTGACATTTAAATGCTAACTCATATATGCTTTCCAATTTTCTAGACTTCACAGGACTAATCTCAGGTACATGGGGAAAAAAAGGGCCAGACTACCCATTACTCTCTCATTAAAAAGCAGCAGAGAGAAATCAGTTGACAAATTGACAGTACAAGAACAGTTCAATCCAATATTGAGGAAAACGTGCAGGGAATTCATGACTGACCTCATCTATAACACAGAACAGGTGAAACCTGGGGCCAGCTACAAACAGGGACTATAGCAGCATTGTGCAGGCACACAGAAATGGTGTTAGGAAAGCCAGAGCTCAGCTACAGTTGAAAGCAGCAAATGACATCAAGACCAGGAGGAGTTCAGCTGCAACATAAGGACTGAAAGACTGCAGGGAAAGCAATGGCCTGGTGCTAAACAGGGCAACTGGTCTAGTGACAGACATCAGGCTGATGGTCTCAGTGCCTTTTTGCCTCTGCCTTGACCAGCAAAGTGCCCCAGGCCTCTCTTCTTAGAGGCAAGGTTAAGAAAGAGGGACTACCAGCAGTGGGAGAAGGGTTAAAGAGGCTGAGAGAGCTGCCTCATGTCATGGTGAAGTTTTTCTCTATCATCTCAGAGATTGTGCACATCTAGGGATGTCCCAGACAACTGTGGAAAAACAAGTGCTTGCACCCAACATCAGAAAGAGCAGGAATGATAATTAGAGAATTACAGACCAGTCAGGCTCACTCTGGTCCCTGGGAAAAATAATGGGAATTAATACTCTTTGGGAATACAATGACTGTGGTTTTAATAAGGGGGAGAAAAAGAAAAAGTAAAAAACCCACCAAGACTACTGTCTTCTATGATGAAATTACAACACCT